GGGTTTATCCGGGTTCGGGTTTAACCGGGTTCGGGTTTAATCGGTTCGGGTTTAATCGAATTCGGGTCTGAATACATTCGGTTCGGGTTCGGTTCGGATCATTTCGGGTGTTCGGTTCTATTTCGGTTCTTCATTTTTCGGGTCAAATCGGGTTCGGTTCCGGGTTATTCGGTTCGGGTTATCGGGTCCGGGTCAGTTTTGCCGGGTCTACTTGTACTTCTCCTGGAGGACTCCCTCTTCTCCTTCAACTAGTCCATCCAATGGGGGTGGCCTAATGACCTTGTTTGAGATACATTTTCCACAAGTGTTAGTAGTATTTTAGATAAAAAATTTAATGGTTCAGATTAATTTTGACATAATTGGCATTATAACTCTTACAGAGTATTTTGGAGATTAAAATAATATAAATATTTTTTGATATTCTTTCTATGTTTTATCTTTAATTTGATATTTTTCTCTCTTAATGGTGTGCTTTAATTGGCAATTCAACATTTTTATTTAAATTAATAATAATTTACTCTTTCCATCTCAAATTAAATTATGGAAAATTTATTTAAATAGCACTAAAACATAATGATTTTTTCTCTAAATAGCATCACATGTGTTTTTTTCCCGATATAGCATTTTTACTCATTATTCATTAGTCATTATTCAAGTAAATGTTCGTCATCTGTAGACATTATGGACATTATTAAATGCTATTTAGAGAATAAAACAATTTAAGGGCTATTTAAGAAAATGACTTAAGTTTTAGTGCTATTTAGTGCAAATATTTCTTAAATTATTTGTTTACTATTTCAGGGTCAAGCTTCATTCATTTGCTTTTTTTTATTTTCGTTAGTCATTTGATAAAATAATATAGTCATGTCATCACTAGTTTTGTAAATCTTTTGATGCACTTTTTAAATATGTAATATAATTTTTAAATTCTACATCATTTTTATATAAAATAATTTAAAAATAACTTCAGTCACATATCATAAACCAAAATAAAAGATTTAAATTAAGACGCAAGGAGTAATTAGTTCAAGATATTAACAAAACATCCTAACAATAGTTTACGTCTACGAATAGGAAATAGAAAAATTGAACTGGGACGCAATATTTTGGGGTTGGAGCACCTTTTGTTAATACTCGTCTCCCTAAATTGAAGTCCCTATACACTATGGAGTATTTACATGTCATTTTTTCTTCATTCTTTTCTTATTTCTGGTAATCATTTCGCATAGTTTGATTTCACGGAATTAAAGAAAAAGTTGAAAAGTAAAACTTGTAGTTGAGATTTGTTTAGAAGAAAAGAAACATTTTGAATTACATATTCTTTACCAATTCTGGATTGGTTTTACCAAACCCACCATGTAATAATACACAGTTGATGGATCAAAACGAGAAATGTAGCTAACAATGTGCTAATTGTTACCATAATTGGTAGGCATTCACTTATGTTTTGTCTTTTCATAGTGTCAAAAAATGACTCATTTTAGGAGTTATGCGCGTATTTTTTTTAGAGTCACTAATAAACAGTCTTGTATCACTTTACAAAGGTTTCAACCATTTGTGTACAACATCCTCAAAATTATTGTGATAGGTAACATCTAACAACTTTTTAAAGCATATTATTAAATTCTATGGAATTGTTGTCTATTTTCACAAAAGAAAGGGCATCATGGGAACCTTTAGAGATGCCATTAGAAATCTCAAGTTTGAAGTCTGGTGACTACAATGAATAACAATAATGTTATATAAGACCTCTACAACTCTACAAGTACCGGACATAAAACCCACCTCTACATCAATTATTGAGACATAGTTTAATTAATTTTCTCTTAGCTAACTATCAGGCTGGTGTTGATGGAATGCCATCCTTTTAAAATGCCTTTAGATCACACTATTTGGTAGGGGAAGCAACTTTCTGAACCAACCGCAAAATCGTTGAGTGAAAATCAAGTTAACCGAAAGGTCGGTTTCGGCTTCAGTTTCATGTAAAAAACATTTTCGGTATTTTGGTTTTTTATAAGAAAAAACCGAACAGAACGAATAACCGATGATTTTAGTTTATTTATTTTTTTAGAATAAGAAAATATTTGATTAACACACACTTTGTTTTTACTTTCCCAAGAAAAAAAATTATTGTTTCACTTTTTAAAAAATAACAATATTTGTTAATTTTTGTATCATATTCATAAGAAAAATGCCATTTTTTATGAAATAGAGTGTATATTGAAATAAATATCAATCTACCTTACTAAACTCATGACAATTGAAAAGTATTAACCTAAACTAATTTAATACATATCACTCTACCTTACCGATGGAGCCAAAATTTCACCATTTTTTGGCTTTGGGGTGTGATGGAATAAATCAAAATGGATCTCTAAACTGTCTGCGCTTCTTTAATTAATGAAGTAGCAGTTAGTCAAGCAATGCAACTTTCGACGTTGAGCCGGGGGTCTCTTTGGAAACAGCCTTTCTACTTTCGAGTATGGGTATGGTCTGCGTACACACACCCTCCCCAGACCCTACTCTTGTGGGATTTAACTGGGTTGTTGTTGTTGTTCACTCTACGAATTAATTTGTTGAGTTTATATCAAAAAGTCAAAATAAAGGTAATTAAAATTCAGTTTTTTGGTAGGCTTTTTGCTATATGGGAGGTTTTCGATTTTGATTCAGTCAGTTTTAGTTTATGATCAGTTTGGTTCAGTCAATTTCAACCATCTTCTAAAAAAATTGGTTTTTTCTGTTACAAACCGAAACTGGCTGAGACCGACCGTTGCTCAGTTCTTCTATTTGGTGTGATTTCTTTCATAAATTTTGCCTAAAATGTTAGGGCGGACTTTCTACCCAAAAAAGATTTGTGTGACCCTAGGTCAAGTCATCAAGTATTCCGTATTAAAAACAATATTCCATCCGTCCAAATATTTTTTTCTCTTTTTTGATCGACTTAGCACGGAGATTAAGAAGAAATTAAAAAATGTTAAGATTTTTAAACTTTACAGATAAAAAATGGAGGTATAATGACACATTCATTAATATTTTGTTTCCAAAATTAGAAATAGGAAAAAAATTAAACAACCCGAAAGAAATTAATTGACGGAAGGAGTATAATTCTATCAGTGCCGACTAAAAATTCCACATTTTTTAAAGATGGAAGGTTGAGAGTTAAAAAGGAGAGTGGAAGTAAATCATATACTCAGTTCTTTAAAAAAGAAAAGAAATGCAAAATCTTTTTTTTTGAAGGCAAAACGAGTATGGATAGTACTCGCCATTACTCACACTATGTCATGGTCCAAGAGAAAGAGCCAGGTATATTTTGGTTCAATATTCCCAAGGGTGAGTACCATAACTCAGTATGTCAAATGGTCCAAGGGGAAAATATACTCTCTCCAACCCATAATGTTTTACACTTTACACAAAACAAAACAAATTTCATTTTTTAAAGAATGGTATAGAATTTAAAAAAAATAAACTAACATATTTAAAAAATCATGTCAAAAGTTTTACAAAGATATGTCAAGAATATTTTATTTTATCAAATAACCAATCAAAACGCACAAATAAACAAAATTTTTTGTGACTTTTAAATAGTGAAGAGTGTAATTCATTTTTGGACGGAGGAAATAATATTTTCGTTCAATACTCCCAAAGGTGGGTGTATTGGCGTACAATCACATTAATGTTGATGGAAACTGCTTAAAAGGAATTGAAGAATTGAAATACACAAAACAAAATGAAATTAAAATACGGGGGCATATTGGCTGGCTATACAATCTACAGGGTTTTAGAAGAAAAAGAAATTCATAAAATTATTGAGGTAATGTTATTACTAAACCTCTTTCTTCCACAACAAGGAAAAATGGAAAACATGGAAGAAATACTTATCTTAAGACAACATTCAATTTGCTCTTCACTTGTTCTCTTACTTTCCACTGCATCAAAAAAAAGGAAGCAAAAATGAGTAGTTGAGAATGCAAAGTGTACAAGTGGATATAGGGACTGAACCTGCAATTCATTTATTTCCTCATCAGTGAGTGACCGCTCCATGGACCGATAAGCAATTCTATAGCAGTGACTCGTCATTCCTTTCTTATTCGTGAAGTTGTCGATAAGTCGAACCTGAAATTAGAGTATGGGTCACAAATGCATTACACGGCACATCCAAAGCCTTCAATGGCAGAACTTTCATGTTTCCTCAGAGTTGTTATATCACTCTCACAGGTGTGATTCCTATGATTTCACATGTCCGCCCATATGCACAACCCTTTATTGAATTGTGCAAAGTCCATTTTAAACGAGAATATATATTCGATGTCAACTTAAAATATTGGGCATATAGAGCACATATAGATTGGGGCTGAGAGTAGAATATAGAAGGGTATCTTTCAAAATCTCAGTTTATCTACAAGACTTAAAAGTATAGACACCATTATGGCATACCTCTTCCACGAGATCCCCGGCGATTCCTCTAACAACTTCACAAAGGTTGTTTTCGGTGAATGAATCGCTAATCCAGAAGCTCATGTCTTTGTAACATGGAGGATACTGCAATATAATAGATATCAAAGTAACAATTAGTATGAAATTACTAGAACTCGAAGTATATGATTTCCTAAAACCGTTTGATTGTGAATTTGAAATACCAAATATGAAGTTTTGTGATTTCCCAAACACTAAAATTGGAATTGTATTTCAAGTTTTTGAATTCTAGAGTATTTCTGAAAGTTCTGAGCACCATGAGATGATAGGATACACTACAATTTGCAAAAAAAAAAAATAGGTGATTTACCTTAGAAAATGGCTTGAACTTCACACCAAGTTGGGAGCTTGAAAACTATATGCAATCCAGAACAACATTGAAAACATGAATTAGGAAAAGGATAACAGGTAAACATTATCATCAGGCCAAATAAAAAGAAAAGTAAAACATGTTTCCAAATTACTTGAGAAGTAAAACGCTCATCAGTAGACCAGAAAAGACGAATATCTGGAATATCGAACAGAACCATTGCCAATCGTTCCAGTCCAAGTCCAAAAGCCCAAGCAACATCATCCATTCTCCCACTTCTTTTCAGTATTTCTTGCTCTGTTACTCCACAACCCAATACTTCCATCCACTTCTCCTGTAAATAATTTAATAACAATATCGCATTGAAACTCTTCAAATTCTAAATATTTAACATTGAAATATTCATAAAGATGATCTAAATTATTTTGAATATCAAGGAACTTAACCTTACAAGGAAGTTTCTTACTTTATCGAAAAATTAAAATGTTAGAACATTCATGCTGCCTATTTTTGTTCACAATATACGTTCTGTACTCTTTTACAACCATAAAACAGGAGTAAAAACACTTGATGGAAACAGTTTTTGTAGCAATCGGGATATGATATGGTAGTGCTCTACTCTACTGGTGCAGCTCTAGGCCACACTGGTAAGCTCAATAATCTTACTGCCACTAAGACTACACTGAATCTAGCCCGAACATATGGAATTAGATGTAACTATGCTTAGGTGGGAAGGGATTTGACTAGGTATTTATATTTGCATGACTAGGCTGAAAAAATGTGTATGAAGGTGTTCCAGATTATTATTCATTCTGTACATATGGGTCATGATCTGGCAGTAAACAAGTGGGAAAGGAACCTCTTATGCAGCCTCATAAAATTCAACAAATCTACAACAACAGCCTACCCAGTAAAGTCCCATGAGTGGGGTCTGGGGGTGTACGCAAACCTTACCCTATCTTAAAGAGCAATGTTACTAACTTATTGGAAAATGATATGCTCTAATAATCATTATAAGACGCGAAATTCAAACGAATACCTGAAAATATATCTCCAATTCAAATGATGGATTGGTAAAGGGGAAATATGTGTCCACCCACCGCATTTCCACAGCACCTGAAGAATGTTTTAAAACATACTGCTAGTAAGAGGAAGTGTGAAGAAACTGACAGTTAGCAAAAATTTAGAAGAAAAAAATTGCAAACCATGTAAGCCTAAAGCAAAAGAAGAGCAGGAAAGTGTCTAGAAAGAAGACAAATGATCATTGTTTCGATGAAATTAGCAAAGGTCAAAGAAAAGAAAAAATACACATAAGCACTAAATATCACTCCCTTTGTTTCTCATTACTTTGCATACTTTCCTTTTTCGGATGTTCCAAATTACTTTGCACACTTTTATGGAAATACTCTCTCTTAGACCTTTTCACATCAACTTTTCTATCAACCCTTTCCTTTACTTTTAAATCAATTCAACATATTTCTCTTTCCTCATTGAATAACTTTACACTATATTTTACTTTCACTCTTAATCGATGTGTGTGTCAAACCGTGCAAAATATTAAGAACAAAGGGAACACACTGAATAAATGAAAACATGGAAATAGTTTGCATTCTTTAAAACCAGACTCACACAATTCTCAACGATACCGGGCAGTCGGGCACCGGCTCCATAATGAGTAGACAACAATGGCAAACCCAATACAATCCCAACCGAGAGGTTGTTTGCATTAGACCCTTGATTCATTGCTACATTTAGTGCCCAAAACTTCCAAGTACAAAGCAAGGAAGTCTATTATGCCACTTTGAGTGAAGATAAAGAAAAAAACATCATACAAATGCAGTTGGAACTATTGGAATCTCATTAGAATTACTCGCAAAAAGTTTTAACTATAACCACAAATCCTTTTTTTACTATAATAAAATGCATTGACATGAACTCCAAACGAGCATCCAAATCCAATTTACTTCTATACAGTTCGAAGTTCGAAATACTACATACCGAACAAATGTCGTGCCAAACCCTCAAGACATATCTTTAGATCGGCAGCAGCATAAGATGTGGCGTCAGTGCATGATCCCTCCCAATCCTTCGGAGAAAAGACCCGTACCCCTTCCATCTGCATAGGTTGGGTGGAAAACGTCAGTAAAATAAAAGAAAGCAATTTTGTAAAAGAGACAATAGATTAATGAATAAAAAATTAAATAAATAAATAAATAAGAGGTAGGATATTTGACACCATTTTTATTTCACACCATTTGACACCACTCCATAACTTTCATATGGGATGTGTTCATGTAAAATCCAACGCAGGATTGTAAAATTAACACGTAGTCATGTAGATGATCCTAATATAGATTTACAACAACTGAAAATCGTTTAGTGCTCTGTTCAATAACTCATATTTTTACATAGTTAAAGAAGCGTTGAGTTTAGTAGTTATTAAACGAAACACTAACACTATGTTTGGTTCAAGGAATTTGAAAGGGAAATGAAAAGAAAATGAGAAGGAAAACAAATTTTCATGTTTGGTTAGAAAGGAAATGAAAAGAAAAGTGGAAGGAAAAGAAAATTAGAAGACAATATACTAAGAGGAGGAAAAACCAAATTCTTCCTACTTTGGTGAGGAAAATGAGAGAAAATCATCTTCTTTTCTTTCCTTCCAAAACCCTTGAACCAAACAAAGTGTAAATGATTTCCAATTGTTGTAACTTTTTTGAGGATGATCTTTGTGTTACTATCTTTCAATCCTACGGTGGATTTTACATGAAGACATCTCATATGAAAGTTATGAGCACTTGAATCAGCTTTTGGGGTGTTTTTGTGTTGTGGCTGGAATTTGAGAGTCACTCCTTTGGAATCCTAAAATGAATTTTGCAAAAGGAGACATGATTCTCCAAAAACAGATTATGATTCTAGTACATGTTTGCAAAATTCTATCCCAAAAAAGGTTGTGTGTGTGAACGCTTGTGTCTAAGTTTTTATTAATACTCCCTCCGTACCAGTGTATTTGTCTGGTTTGACTTTTTTTAGTCAAACAGCATAAACTTTGAGCTTCAATCAAACAAAAATTGTAATGTATATAAATGAATAAATGATTTTATTAAATTTATCTTGTTGAAAACTTTCAAAATTTTATTTTATTGTACTTATATGAAATATAAATTGAGAGTAATTGAAGCTTAAAGTTTGTCCGGTTTGACTTCGAGCCAAACCGGACAAATACACTGGGACAGAGGTAGTATATTAATTATTAATGCAACAACAGACCAGTAAAGTCCCATATAACAAGTCTAGGGAGGATATGTAATTATGTATATGAAGACCTTTCCCTTACCAAAAAGTAGAGAGGTTGTTTCACCCCAATGCAAAACACAGGAGTACAACAGTAAAGGAAAGTAGCATGAGTAAAGCAAGAAAACAAACAAAAACAAGCATACATGCCGAAACTACAGATTAATGTCCAAAGGTATACCCTACCACTATAATTCCAAACCTTGGGATGCTCTTATCTAAGGTCCATATCCTTGATAAGATCCTGAATTCATAAGTCATGTCGAATGACTCTAATCAACTCCTTCCAAGTCTTGTTAGGTCTTCCTCTATTATTCCTTACGCCTTCTATGGCAATCCTCTCACACAGTACTCCTCAGTACGTGCCCAAACAATCTTAATTCCCGAGGCTTATCTTCCATAGAGACCATTGCCTCTCTCCCCCAAGTAACCTCATCTGGGTCTTATGCATTCTCGTATGACTACACATCCACCTCAACATCCTCATCTTTTCCACTTCTAGCTTTCGAGCGTGCATATTCTTCACCACCCATCACTCTGCTCTATACAACATAGTCGATCTCACCACTATCCAGGTTTGTTGATATCCTATTGGATTCCACTTTGTCCAAGCGGCTCCAATATGGTGAAATATATTACTACCTTTGTCTCTGAGTATTTGTCCAGTTTTGACTTTTTTTAGTCAAAATTAACAAACTTTGGCCACTAATTAGATAAAATTGATATTAGATATTGATACAAAATAAGTTTATTAGATTTATTGTATAAAATATTTTCAGAATTTTATCTGATTAACATACCGCATAATTTTAATTTAGTTTGAGGTCAAATGTTGAAATTGGTTTACTGAAAAAAGTCAAAACTGGACAAATACTCATGGGCGGAGGTAGTAATATTTTTTAATATATAAAATAAAGTAAAAATGACCACTATATATACATATTAGTCTATTAAAATAAATGAAAAATATAGACAATAATTAACTAATTAAGTTATTTTAACACAATATCAATTTACTTTACCTTTTTGTCCTTTCAAACAAAAGTGTACAAATCTGTGTTTGATTATATGCCCAAACCTAATAGCTGTTGTAACTGGAAACAGATGATAAAAGTGAGGAATGCGTTTGTTAATATGCCTCTCAGTGGATATTATGAAACACAGAAGGGCTACTATTGGATGATTGGCAATAAGGAGACTCCTAAGTGGGTCAAATGGGTTTGATGTAGACTTACTATGCCCAACTGTCAGTTTAATTTTTGGCTTATTATGAATGGGAGACTTCAGACAAGAGTAAGGCTTTCAAGTTCTTAAACATTGATGTGGTGTGTCCTTTATGCAGAAATGAAGAGGAAGACTTACAGCATTTATTCTGCAAATTCCCCCTAAGCTGGAAAGATAAATTCTGCTATATTTGCCTGAATGCAAGTGCATATTGCAGAGTCAGATGTCAAAGGGGTTGGGAGGAAACCTAGGAAGAAAAGGGAGGATGTTATTTCTGCTTGGGCTATATTTGGAAAGCACGAAATGGGAGAGTACACGATAAAATTATTACAGTTGATGAGACCATAGCCACCGTCAAATACTATGTTTACACTTTTTTGTTTCAAAAAGTGAGTAATGTGTTATTAGAGTAGTTCTTGTTGGGGCTGCATTTGTGCCTGCAGTTCGGAGTAGAGTGCTTGTAAACTGCTCTTGTTGGTGTTGATAATATAGTATTTTTCGGTTAAAAAAGAGTGTACAACAATTAAACGAGAATACTCTCCAAGGTGATCTTTTATTTCATACAACAAAACAACCAATTTCTCTGTTTGTTTAGAGGAAAATATTTTCTTTTTTCCCCTCTACTATGTTTAGATACACGAGATGTATAAATAATCTTCAGGGCCTTTATTCATGATAAAAGTACAGATAAAATTACAAATGATTGGCTGCTAGGGCACATATACTCAACAAAAAGAGAGAAAACCCAAAATAAGTGAGGTAGGTACCCAAATACCTGGTGGAATACTGGGTAATGAGTTGAGTCAATGGAGTCCCTGCGATAAACATCTCCCGTCACAAGGAAATGAGTATGACCCTTACTCAATAAATCCACTTGATGCGCACTTGTGTGGCACCTCAAAACAGTTTCAGAGTCCACATAATATGTATCATTGTAACTCCTGCTAACATGATCGGCAGGTACCAATACATCATCAAAGTTCTGCAATAGTATCCACAGTTTTAAAATGCACATCAAACATCATCTATCAGAGAGAGAGAGAGAGAGATTGCATTAGAATGTTGCCACAGATTAGTTCAAAAAACAGAAATGTACTTAAAAATATGAAGTAGCAATGAATTCCACCATGTACCCAAGACCTTGTAGTCTAACAAAAACAAAATCAGAATAGAATTTTACAAATGGAACTGCAAGTGCAATGACCTGACACTCTTTTAAAAGACCTTGTAGTCATGTAGCAAAAAAAATACATGACTCAAAGGACTAGCACTTACAACAGAAACAATGGTCTTTCTAGTCTAGTCTTAACTTCAGCCAGACTATAGTTGTGTATACACATGTGTGTGTGTATACATATATCATTCCACAGAAAACTTCTACCCTGAAAATGCAACAGATGAATTCCATCACTAAAATGAAAGTGCTAAAGCCTTTCTTTTCTATATTTAGATTGCAACATTCATAAAGGCATCAACAGGCCAAGACACAACCAAAAGATCTTGTCTAAGAGGGTGCTTGTGAGCGCGGTGAGTCTTGAAAAAGCAGATGTGCTAAATCAAAAGTAAAAAGCAGTTACTTCGAGCTTTAGTGAAAATCACTACTAGAGCACAATTTACACTTTTGAAATCACAATCCATAATCTAAAGCTGATTGGAAAACACTTAAAATTGTATTTCAATGATGTAGAAGCTCAAAAGCTATTTTCAAACACACTCCCAAACACCCTCTAAGCCCAACAGGAAGACTCATACCCCTTCAACACACTCTTGCTACCATCCCAAACTACCATAAGACAGTTGATACACTACCCAAGAGCATCATCAAGGCTATGGAGTTAAGGATGTCCAACTTCTTTTGGGGAAAGGACAAATACCATTGGAAAAAATGGTCATCAAAATGCAAAACAAAAGTGGGAGTATTTGGAGTAAATAATCTGAATCAACTAAAAAAAGCTTTCAACCTAAAGCTTGGGTGGGATTACCACAACAAATGAAACATATGGACAAAGTTAATGAGGGCTAAATACTCAAGAAATAACATCATGATGGTAACTCTACAAGACTCACCAATATGGGAAAAGGATTGTTAAAAACTTAAAATAAATGAAGCTGCTAGTAAATGTTGCAGTATTGACAACTCAGGCAGACTACTGGAAGCTGAATGAAAAGAGGTCACTCGCCTTAGGAAGTGCCTATGCTGCATCAGAAGAGGCTGGAATGATCATCAAAGCAAACCAATATATCTGGGTAAACACCAAGTACCCAAAGTTGGAATCTTTTATGGAAACTATTCTCCAAGGCCTTGCCCCTACCAGAGAATCTATCCAGGTTTGGCCCTATGCCTCATACAAGCTGTCTTTTTTGTCACAAGGGAAGATGGAACTGGCAAACATATCCTACTGGAGTGCACAGCTGTGAATAAAATATGGGCTCATTTTGGGGCTATCATGGATGTAAAACACTGCTGGAGGAGAACCATAAACCAGTTCTTCATGTCTTGATGGCTCAAATCCTCACAGAAAAGAATCTATGGGAGCTTACTATCCATTATGCCTGGTTTTATAGCATGGCATACATGGAAGGGTTCGATTATCTCAAACACCAGGGGGAAGCTTTCAACATCATAAAAATCATTGATTCTATTAGTAGATTCACTTATGCTTGGGCAACAACTGTTGAGAAGAGGAGCTCAAGAGATAAAAAATACTTAAGAGCTAATAGCTGCAGGCTTGATTCCTAAACTCCATGACACCTCCGTGGCTCCACCCTAATGATCAAATGGAAGCCTCCAGATAAGGGGTTCGATAACCGCAAACACCAGAGGGAAGCTTTCAACATCACAAAAATCATTGATTCTCTTAGTAGATTCACTAATGTGTGGGCATCAACTATTAAGAAGAAGAGCTCAAGAGATAAGAATACTTTAGAGCTAATAGTTGCAGGCTTGATTCCTAAAATCCATTTTACCCCCAACACCTTCATCCTAATGATCAAGTGGAAGCCTCCGGATAATGAGTGGTTCAAATCCTCACAGAAAAGCATCTATGGGAGCTCACTATCCATTATGCCTGGTTTTATAGCATGGCACATATGAAAGGGGTTCGATAATCTCAAACACCAGGGGGGAGTTTTCAACATCACGGAAATCATTGATTCTATAAGTAGATTTACTTATGCTTGGGCATCAACTATTAAGAAGAGGAGCTCAAGAGATTAAAAAAATACTTTAGAGCTAATAGCTGCAGGCTTGATTCCAAAAATCCATTTCATCCTCAACACCTCCATCCTAACAATCAAGTGGAAGCCTCCGGATAAGGGGTGGTTTAAACTCAATGCAGATGCATCATATAAACAAGGCAGTACTCGAGGGGCTGGAATACTCATAAATGAGAAGAGTAAATTTGTCAAAGCTCTGGTTACACCCATTCATGCTTGGAACAATCTTGAGGCAGGGGAAAGCTAAAGTTGCCTTCACTTGTGTGCAATAGTATCTAAGATTTTGCATTAACTTTGTGCTTAAAGTGGATGCTAAGCTCATACTTCAAAAAAAATGGAGAACACATGCACACTAACACAATAGACGCACTTCTTTCTCTATGTAACACACCACATTATGACCACCCATATGCATAGAGAGGAGAACATGGCAGCTGATTATCTAGGCATCTAGCTCAAGAACTCTTTAAGCCTAGACTAGAATTTGCGCATCAATTCGCTTCATATATATATACAGTGGAGAGTGATATGAGGTAGCTGGAGGAGATGGCATATTTTAGGAAACAAAAGATTTGCATATGAGTGATTAATATATCATAGTGTTTAAGAAAATGACTACTGATAACTCTTCATCCTCCATTATTGTTGTGAAAAAAAATTGAACTCTTGGTATTGCTCAAAAAGAAGAGTAAGAAAACCCCCAATTTGAATTTTTATGAATTTAAATTAGAAAAGTTAAACAAATATGACAACCAACAACGAAGAAAACAAGGTCATCAAAATCAACAGGACTGAAAGCATTTCCCACTACTTTTAGAATTTGACAGAAAATAAATTAGAAGAGAAGAATAAAATCAAATGGAAAATCTGATAGAATTACCTGTTTAATAGAAACAATAGGGCACAAATCATCGAACTTGTCAAATTTGTTTAGATGCTTAGTGTCAAAGTAATCATAGATTGCATTTTTCAGGATACCAAGTGGATGTTGATTCCTCCTATGGAGCTGCATTCCCAGCTTTGAGAATATGGTATCTGGGATGTTGTTTGTCGGGTCATCTCTCACTATCTCTGCATTTGAAACAAGTATGTGATCAACAACAAGATTACATATACAGTGTGTTCTGAGATCTATTTGATTGCATAGAGACATGAGAAATATCAATGAAATAAAATTGAGCAAAAATACCAAAAAATTGTAAGAATATCTGTAAATTTGTGAAAAGCCTGTGGATAAAAACGAGAGTAGCATCCTAGAAGAGGGGCACATTTAATCCTATAAACATATTATACGAAATAAAATTTCACCAAGAACAGTAACACATAATATAATGAATAGCTAAAACAAGCACTTCAAAAAAATGCTACCACGAGAGACCCTAAATTCAAATTGAAATACAGCGAATAATTTCACCGCAATGAATTCATTTTGCACCTTACCATCTCTGGAAATCTTGAGGCCTCCAAGATCAAGGGCTGATGCAACGGGTGCCCTCCACTTCTCGCGGTGGAAGGCGGCTCTGTTCTGTGCAGGCATAGCAGCGGCAGGGTAGGAGGATAAAGACAAAGATGTAGAGAAATGAGCGAGAATATTGCATCGCTTAAGGATTCCGCCATTTCTGCAAAGGAACGCTGAGGGCTTAGTAGAGATGAAGAAGGTCGATTGAGCTAACGAGAGAGCCATCGCATGAGGAACGGTCCTGACCAGAAGAAGTCCGAGTCTAAAAAAATCCCCTTTAACACCAGTTAAAAAAAGTATAAAAATACTAAAATAATTTTTTTTTAAAAAAAATTAAAACATGAGTATAATGACAATGTTGTGTAAGAGTCACGTTGATAGTGCGGTAGAAAAGTGATCGTGTAATATGTCAGTGTAGTCAGTCAATCGTTAGTGACCCGCAGCGACACTCCGGGGCCAGACGGCGACGAATGACAGTGTAATGGTAGTAGTTTACAATTTAAGAATGTGGTAGGTGTTGTAGTGTAACAATGAGAGTGCTAACTTCTAAATTAGTCTTAAAACACTTATGACTCCTATTTTGGTATTTTCATAGTTCTTTAATCCTATCTATGGAGTTCTCCCTAGAATCTATCAAACTACAGAAATGAGAAATTATGAATAGTGTTTCAGATAAAAAAATTGGTGACTTTTAAATTTGATATAGCACTGAATTTATATTTTAGAAATCTTTCCAACGAATGTTAATTTGATTATGAAATATCTGCTTCAAAATTCTTTATTTTGTCCGAAATACTATTTTTCTTTATTTTTTATCAATCTGTAATTTTTAGTCTCCATTGAAAATGTAAAGTATTCTGCATTGTTGGCAGGCCGAAGTATTGGTATGAAATTGAGCAATTTATGAGAGTAGTAAATTATTGAATTTTGAAATATAAACGTAAAATCACAAATTTCTTGGAATATGTGTGTGATTTTTTTCCTAAAATAAAAGATGATATTAGTATTTTATTTTATCAAATGATCAATGAAAACATACAATGAGACGGAAGCTTCCTTTCGCCCAAGACATTAGTGTGTCTTTTACCATGAGACATGGGGAGTAGTCATTTTGTTTCTTAATGTACATTTGAATGTTTTAAAAACATTCCAAATTACAATAAGTTATTGCTATATCCGCTATCATCTTGGCTATATTCATTTCATTAATGTTAAATTGAATATTTTAACTTCAAAAACATAACAGAGAGAATTTTGATGCAAGACCAATTTTAGACATAAAATTATCCACTCAATACGGAGTATAAAATGAATTAAAATAGCTAAAATAAGAGTGTATATAACAACACCCATTACAATATTGCTCAACAATAATTTAAGGGAGGTGTATTCAATATAGATTTTGCAGGACTTTTTTGTATTCTAAGAATCTATGTGTATTCAATTAGAATTTTAAAAATTCATTTAAAATTTCAAGGTATTCAATTGAGATTTGAAAATATCATTCTAAATTTGATAGTATTGAAAATTCTATAGATTTAATAAGATTTTTATAAATGATCGATTGTGATGGATTTTAGGTGGGTAGTATAAATAGAAATCCATGAAACAAATCTTTCTACAAACCTAAAGATTTTGAGTCTAGAGTTGAATCTGAAAAGCAAAAACACGATGTTGGGAGACCTTCTGCGATTCATGCCAACATCTTCTGCGATTTTGCTATCTAAGGCGGCGGAATGAAGGACGGGGCTTATGACTCGGAGAAGCAATATTGAACAATAGATGCAGGCCAATCCGTTAGGAGAATTTGAACAATCGAAGAAGAAGATGAACGGATGTAGGGATACAAAGAATTGATTTTTATTTTGAACTGTTGTTAGTTTTTTATTACAGTAGTAAATTTTGAGATTTTAAAAGACTTGAATCTTGATGGCAGCGACTCGGCGGAGGCGGCCTGGTAGCTGAGCCAAGGAAAAAAAGGAGAAGAAGAGAGACAGCGGCTCCTGGGGAGGAAGAAGGAAGAAAAAAAGAAAAGAAAAAAAAGAAAACATAAATACATAATCCATGGATTATATACAATTCTATAAAATCTTGCTGATAAAATACATTAAAATCTATCTAACTCTGCGTAGATTTAAAATAATTCATTGAATTTATAGAATCCATGAATTCTAACCAATCTATCAAAATATTTAAAAATCTAGATTGAATACACCCCCAAAGACTAAGGGAGTGTATTCAATTAAGAGTCTGTGTGATTTTTTTGGACTATCAAAATCTGAGGGTATTCAATATAGATTTCTAAAAATCTTTTAAAAGTCTAGGTGTATTCAATTGTAACCTTTTAAGGAATCTTATTCATTTAAATCAATGGAATACTAATACTTCATAGATTTTGCTAGATTGTCACCCAAAATATTGCTTATCTCAAATCTCTTCTCAAATCTTCAGATTTCAATGGATTTGGACAAAAAATCACACAGACTCTCCTACCGCCGGCCATCATCCACGGACTTTTATATTTTGCCCATTCTTGTAAATCTTCTCATACCGCCGGCCATCATCCACGGTCCACCAAGTTACTATTCGGCACCGTCATGACCGATGAGGAAGCACTCTTCGATGCAGCTCGAAGAGTCGACTTGGACAAAGTGAAATCATAGATAGTGTACAGAGCCGACGTCACATACTTCGACAGTAACGGCCTAAATCCAAGGATGCACGCCGCCAAGCGGAAGTGTGCGTTGTGGAAGATGTGTTGGCCTGCAACCCTCAACCTCAAGTCTATGGAAAACCCGGCCCTGCCAAGGCCCAATAGAAATCCATGGAATCTATGAAGTCCATGTAAATTAATAGAAAATTGGACAAAATCTACATGGAGTCTATGAATTTTCTAAATCCCCAAACTTCTAAAAATCTAAAAAATCCAATTCAATCTCAATTGAATACACCCCCTAAGATTTTTACCCATGCGGCGCACGGGGTTCAAGGATATTGTTTACGACTCTACATTGAGTATTTCTAAAATGACTTGATTTTTATGTGGCACAATATTTAAACATCAAATATAAATAATCTAGGTTTAGAGCATCTACAAATCTATAATTCTTCTCCTGTGTAAATTTTAAAAATAGTAATACAAAAAGTATCAGTGATCCAATGATTCTTTTCCCTCGCATTAATTTAAAAATCTAAATTACCGACCTTATAATTCTATGATTAAAAAGCATGATACTTCTCCTCTATATTAATTAAACTTAGCAAAAAAAATGATTCCAACTACCCCTGCAATGATTATAAAAATTTATTAGTCTCTCCTGCATTATTAAAAAGTGAAATCTTAAATTAGTTATCCTAAATCTCTATGATTAAAATTTTTAATTTTAAAAAATTAAAATTCAATTATTCTTCTCCCCCACATTGATTTAAAAAAATATTAATACAAAAAGAAATATTAGTGCTCCAATGATTCTAATGGGAAAGTGAGAAAGATTAATAGTGAGTATATGAGTACAAAATAGAAAACTAACCAAATAAAACATTCATGTCTTTATTTCCAAAATAGAAAGGTCAACAATGTCAATATATAATACTAAAAATTACAATGAAATGCCTATATGTAGTGTCACATTGTCAAAATGCAATAATATTATTTTGGAATAAAAATAAGTCATTTCTATTATGGTAATAAAATAAATATTTTTCTCTTATTTTGCTTGTTTCTTTGAGGAAAATTTCAAAAATATTTTGCAATTTTCGATTCTTTTTTATTTTTAAAATGCAAAATCATTCAAGCCCGTGATAGTATTCTGGTCAATATACAAATTATTTTTATCAAAATACAAATAGTTACAAATTTAAAATTGTGCTTCTCTTTGATGTGGTTATAAAATGTAACTTAGGGCATGTTCTTTAGGACTAGAAAAAAAGTTAGATGTTGGAAAAAATTGGAAGAAACTGGAAAAAACTTGAAGAAAATGGAAGAAACTAGAAAAAACTGGAAGAGACTGGAAAAAACTAGAAGAAACTGGAAAGAACTGAAAGAAATTAGATGGAACCGGAAAAACTAGAAAAAATTGGAAAATCTAAAAAACTATAAAAAAAATATATTTAAGTTTATGTTTTATATTATTCTCATTCTAATTGTTGTTATTATTATATTCATAATCACGTTATCTTAATCAACTAGTATCACACCCGTGCGTTGCACGAGTCATTTTTATGTTATTAAGTTCAAATCATTTTTCAATGATAATAAATGAGATGCAATAGAATATAGAGATTATATTATTTTAAGGTAAAAAACATCAGTGTTTTACAAATTTTGAAAAACTTCTTTATAGACTACATTATTTGTACAATTTGTGGGAATATTGACTTCATTGCATCTTAGAAACTTCAAGTCACTACGATTAGTTACTTTTGAAACTGCAACATAGAGTTGTCCATAACTAAACACATCAATAGTGTGGATCTCTCATCAACATTTTTTTAAAACAATTATGATCCCCATGTTCGTACAAAAGGCGATGTTGAAACACCGAATAAAAACACACGTTGAATAATTTTACTATCTTGGCCTGGAAAACGACCGTATTTATAGTATATAATTCTAATAGGCTAATTATAGTAAGAAAGTTAGATTTTTTCAAATCTGGGTGTATAATTATTCTTACCATAATTATTATTTTTTTTGAAATTGGGTGTATAATTATTCTTACCATAATTATATTATATTATAATCATTGATTCCAATTTCCTAGCCACACGGTTATACATAATTAATTATTTCCAATTTCCAATTTTAATAAAAATTTACGCGTTCCAATTTTATAACTTACCTAGTCACACGATTATACAATCTATATGTTGGTCAATTATTACCTTTTTTGATTATTTCCAATTTTAATAATGTAATAATAATATCGCTTTTAAACATATTTTAGTTTTTTGGTTTTTTTGGATTTTGGATATCACCTTTTTTAATTATTTCTAATTTCAAATCGTTGATAGCAATTTTAATAAAAATTTATGCTTTCCAATAAAGTAACTTACCTTTTTTGCTAGTATAATCTCGGACACTTTAAAAATAACAGTTAATTATTCTTACCATAATTTCGGACGCTTTCCAATCAGTACTCATAATAATGTTGGTTAATTATTACCATATAATACGTTAATTCAATTTTTATTAAAACTTATGCTTTGCAATTTTATAACTTACCTTTTTTAATTATTTCCAATTTAAATACGTTGATTCCAAATTTAATAAAGTAAAATTGTATTAACTTCAATACGTTAATTATTATAAAAATAATAATTATATTAACTTCACGCTTTCCATTTTATATTACTAGCATTTTCACC